CATGTGTGTGCCGCCATCATAACGATAAACCGGATCGACCCGAAGACTTGCGTGCGGTCTCACCACGCGATGTCACGGAACGGGTTATTATACTTATGATAATATTACTATGTACGCGTCTCCCAATACCACCTCCCCTCACACCGCCACCCTCAGAAAAAAACGGCTGAGTGAATAACGATGTCCACCATCAGGGGGGGGGACATGAAAATCCCGAGGAAATCAGTACACAGTAACACCGAATTGGTGACTGGAAACCGCCAAAATATTAGCGATTCATGGGGTCATACAACCAACATACGGCAAACATCGAGTAGGAATTAAAAAGTACTATTCAGAAAACTTTGCAACTGTTGTGACTTAACTGTATACTGTAAATACTTGTTGTATATAACTTAATTATATTTTGCATTTGAAAGCAAATTTTCAAAAAAACTAAAATCATATAACTATAAACAGACAACAGTTTACAAGACAAAATAAATATTTTTTACATTATAATATAATTATCTTAATCTTAGATCATATCTAATTACTCCCGAAATATTGAATCGAACTACACTATAAATAATATGAGCAATAATGCAATATCAAACCGATCGTATCGTATCGTTATCATATTGAAAAACATGTACGTAGATACCTAGATATTTTTAAAATACGGGGAAAATGTTAGAATAATCGTTGTCCTAATTTTAAACATCCTGCGGCACTCCACAAACGATTCGTCCGAAATACGATTTTTTCGAATAATATGAGAATTTACTAATCGTCTATAATCACTGATAATTTAGCTGTAGATAGCTTAAATACGACAATCTAGTTAACAGTCTATTTATTCCTAATAATCGGAACAAGTCGTCGGACGATAATATATTATGCGTATGTCTACTATATTTAAACGCATACGATAATAAGGTGCAATATTTGTGAAAGAACGACCGATAGTGACAATCATAACCCATAAGAGTAGGCCGAAAGTGAATCGAAGAAAATCGGCGTATTAAGGTGGGTTTCCACTACATACATATATTGACATATATGGCATATATTGACCGGATACGTTCACTATGAATGGTCTCACAAACGTTTCCCATCGGTTAATATGGGTTAGATTGTGTAAGATTGGTAACATATTAGTTATCTCATATTATATTCTTTATGTTATCAATATAAAGCTGTGTACACGTGAAAAGTTGAACTGGATCCAACTTCATGGTATCATGGTCAAGCTTGTGGTAAGAAAGTATAACACTCTGGTATACCAACCAATCACAGAAAAGTATTTTAATACACGTACACGTATCTAGTGGCAACCCACCTTTACCCATAGACCTTGTACTCAGAGTATACTTTGTATAAAGTCTATGGTATTACCACATAAACCGATATAACCGTTCGATTTTCCCACAGTTTTTACGAGGAGAACCAAACGATAAACCGTCAGTAGCACACCACATTATATAATTTAACTCCACACGATTATTATGGCCGATTTAGGAATATTAGAATGGTTGGTAGGTACTTAGAAGTCGGTACCGCGGCGGTTCAATTTAGTCTATTAGAGTGGCTGCTCGCTCACTCACTCACTCTTTCTCGCTCTCTCTCTCGCTCTTTAGAATAGGCGACATCTCTCGTTATTGGATAATATTATATGGAGGACATAATAATAAATAATAATTACAAATGTCTCGGAGCTACTTAAAAGCGACCGTTACACTTTACACCACTACAGTACGGTAATAGGGTTGTGCTCGAAGATTACTCACCACCCCACTGCCCCCACTATATTTGTCCATCCACCCTCCGTCCCATCAGGCTCGACTTTTTAGGTTGGCCTGCCCCGTCGACGGGGCTGCTGTTGAATGTTTTTAACACATCCATTATTATAATTATAATCGTTCAACGAATACACAATTATTATATTACATTTTTATGTTATTATTATTGTTATATGCAAGACGCCTTTGTTCGGTTTAGTTCGGAGTAGCTACCGCCGCGTCTTTCGAGACGACGATTCAAATATAGCGTAATAAAATAATTCTCAATGCCAGAAATAGAGCCACCGTTTATAAGTTATGCACGTACCACCACGTTCGCACGAGTCTACAATGTCCCCCTATATAAACCCATCACCACAAGAACGTTTTAATTTTCCATTCAGTTTTTAATTTCACGACTGGTAATTTTTTTTAATTATAAAATATTGACTTTACACTATTATTGAAAAAAGGTTGTAAAAATAAAAAAAAACACTACTATTAAAATAAAATTTAAGGATTACATATAGGTACAGAAGTTAGTGTAAATATATTATATTTTAAGTGAAAACTTCGACAATCGAGCAACTATTTTTTTTATAGGTAGGTACACGACGCATGCAAATTATGAGCACTGGATCAAGATACTAAGATGGTTGGAATTTTGTTCTTCTTATACGAATAAATTACGATCTTATGACGATACTAACACATCGTTAATGTTGAAAAATAATTTCGACGGAATAATTAAAAATACCATATGACTACCGTATAAATGAAAAAAAATACTATTTTACCAGTTCAAATATAATTAATACGCATTACCCCGACAGAAACTGTCGTCGGAGCGCATATAAAATCAAAAATAAAATATACAATTCTATACACCTCGAAGACCTTGAGACGTGTCATATTGGCGTGCGTGAAGTAAATTAATTTATACAAACATTATCGACGACAATATTATTGTTTCTTAAATTACCGATCGTGCATGATACGGTACCTATTACCGGCTACCACGGGAATGACTGGCCACTGCCGCCAAGACTATTGTTTTCAACTGCCGGACAATAAAACAAATCACGAACGTTCGTCGTCAAGACATTGTTGTTCGTCTGCGGGGATTCGCGCCGCGAGAGAGGAAACGACCGGACTATATTAAAATAATAGATAGGTACCCTATTATAGGACCTATTATACCACATGCACTGCAAGCTGCAGCAGACGTATTTTTGAATTATTATAATATAAGCTGCTCGATAGTAACATTACGGATAATAAGCTGTATACTATACGCTGTAGGGTTAGCATAAATATTAGAATATTTCGTCCTTTATTTAAGTCAATGTCCCGTTTTAATGATGAATCCATAATAATATTATGTATAATTAATAATAGGCGACGGGCGCGGTAGTTCCGTCGGTGTATTATAGCTTTCGAGTGAAATGATAATATTATAATATTGTCCGGGATTAACACAACCGGACGTGCGTATTAACTTCCGAGAACGAACGAACGAGGACGTCGGTGTTTTCTCTCCGGTCCGTCAGAAATGGGGGAAAAAATCCTATCCGAACACGCCACGATGACGATGATATATTATTAACGTCGTAAATAGCCACTAAATAATGGGCGACACAAAATAATATTATAAGTACTAAATTAATTATATTATTGTAAGAGGCGTATAGATCGGCGGCGATCGTGATGCGTGTAAAATATACATAATATATTATACGACACTTCCGAACGGAAAACGTTTACTGCAGTTCGCATATCGCACGCGGCCATTATCATAATAGTAATGTTATAATATACGATAATGGGCTAGGCGGCGGTGTAAATTAATACATTTATTGTTATTTTATTCGTTCGGACCGACGGCCTGAGCACCTAATAATGATAATAATATACCTAACGACGATATTACTACAACCACTAACGCATCGGTCGGCATGAACGCGTCCCACGCGCGTTGACAACGCGTTATGGCGACGGTTTTACAGTAATAATATACCTATAATGCTGATCGTGACGTAAACGATAAAATGATAAATAACCCTAGGGCGGAAAAGTTACACCACGGTATGCTAATGACCACATGGTATATATCCCCAATTTTGATCGGGACGATGGATCGTCGTGCGATGGACGCTACGGAGGCAATTTGCATAAAACTCGGACCAAGAGGATTAAACACGTACGGTTTTTTCACGCGGGATGGATAGGATTTTCGACGTTTCTTCGCGTTGCACCATCACGGACGCGCGCCCACGGAACGTTTTATTTATTTATTCTTTTAATTCGCGTTTATGATATTATTCCTCCGCTCGTATTATATTATTAAATGTACCTATACCTACGTCCCCGGCGTCGCCATTGGTAAATACTGCCGCCGCCACCGGTGTATACGTCGTAAGTATGTATTATAATATTATAATATGACGTGTACGCGGCGAATTATTAAAATGATATGTTGTTATATTGTAATGGCGGGGACATACCTGGGAAAAGGGTGAAATTATCTCACGCGGACAAGAAAGGGTAATGAAAGGAGTCGACCCCGTCGGTTGGGCTGTACAATACACAAACGAGGCGAGCAAGACGATAAATCATAATTTATACCACTCGGTGTGCGACGGAGAAATAATATTATAACGAGAAAAAGAGAGGAGAGGGAGAGGGATATATGTATGCTTATAACTTATAATATATACTGCGCTGTTATAACGTTTATTGTTGTCCAATAAAAACCTATTAACTGGCCGGCCCGCGAGTGTGTGGTCATAAAATATTTAATGTAGCCCGTGTGCTCCGATGGTGCGGCTCTACAATATGCACGTGTTACGCGCAGAGAGGTAGCTTTTTCAAGTAGGTATCTTCTAAAAGTATAATATAGTATTAATATGTTTTATATACTCATCATAATACACAGAGTATGAAACGAGTGAAAACCGCGTGTAGGTACGACAATGTAAAATTACATCATGAACACCACAGAGCGGCGGTGTGGGTCTGTATTTTTTTTTTTTTTGGGGGGGGGGGCTTAAAATGTAACGCGCGAGTGGCGGTAAAAACGGAACGACATTATATTATAATATATTATTATTTAGTGCGAGACGACGATTGTAAAATCGTTTTATCGACTTATAAGCTTAACGACAACAACGTACGGCTAATAGCTAGTACGTGTAAACTTAGAGAGACGAATAAAATATAACAAACGTGTTCGGTACTCACCACAAACGACTCTGTCGAACGGACTCATCCAATCTGAAACAAAACAAAAAAAAAACGAAAATTAAAACGTTTTAAAATAATATTACCAACATGTCATGATGTCAGTTACACATACCTACCTACCTACATGTTACATTATTACGTCATAAGCGCATTTGTTGGGAGAGCTCGATATAAGTACTTTTATTTTTTTTTTCTAAAAAATATAGATAAAACAACAACAGTTTACTTCAAAGATTTATAACCCAATAAAAAAAAAAAAACCGTAGGTATCTATCCAATAATTTTACATTAAAAATCAAAATCGCGCGGACAACACGAAAAAGCTTTTGTGTGTATTATCATTGATTATATTTTGTCGACTCAGCGTGTAAATCAATACATATATAAATTTCGTTTTATCGCATCAGTATCATTGACAGTTTTTTTTTTATTTATTTTTAATTGACAAACAGTCTCGTGTGTCTGCACGGCGCTAACGCAGTGAATGGAAATTTAAATATTATTTATACATTTTTAATATGCTAATTATTGTGTGCATTTTATTGATCATCAAACGAGTTGAAATTGTCTGCACTGCGAGTGAAGTATTGACTGCTGGGATAGTGAAGTATTGACTACTCGGATAGTAAATAACGTATAATACAGCATAATAATTGTGATCTTAGGAACTTGATAAACATTTTCACTAGACGAAAATATGAGGAACAACCATTAATTTATAGGTAACCGAGTAGGTACTTATAGTCAATAATACAACCATTATAACAGTTGATCAATCATAATTTTAATACCCATTAGGACGTTTATAAATTATCGGAATTAAACTGAAAAAGCGACAGATTATGTTTGTAAATAACTTTAAGTTAAAACCGTACATTAAAAGTAGTTTTTGTTCGCAGTGAACTTTTAAAATGTTGTCGATACCAATAGGTTTTAATATTTATGTCCGTTAAAACTTAAGAACCTACATGTAAACCGTTTTTTATTCATACGCGAGTAAATTATATAGGGATATAAATAAATAAATAAATATAATAAATTATATAGTCAAATAGTGAGAGTTATAACAATTAGTGTGCAACCGGTATCGTAGCCAAGGTCTTGGCAGTTGGCGCCCCGGTGCAAGTGGAAATGCGATTACGGCCATGCTGTTTGCAAATAGTGGCGAGGCGAGTGAAGGAGGGTGAGAACCCTCTGTGAAAGTATTTGCTCGAGAGGGTAGCTACTATCCCCAACTATATACCTACGCCATTGCAAGGTTCAACGGTTCGAGATACCTATATATCATTATGGTATATCTGGTCAGCACACCCTTTCTGATACTTCTAAACGGTGTGTATACATATACATAGGTGCGAGTCGTTAAGTGTTCGGGAAATTGGGCAAACCGTTCGTACTTTTTTCCAATTTGACCACTACCGGTATTATCCACCGGTACGACGACGAGAGGCGCTCTAAAGCTCCATTGGCGGTATCACTAAATCATATTTTTTATTTATTTCGTGCGAAAATTCGTATGCGCTCACGAACCGGTTTTGGCGGCTCGACGATCTTCTCTGAGCAGTATCATATTATAAGCGATGGGCCGTAACCGCTCGCCTACTTGTGTCCGCTCGTATAGTCTATTGTTCGATAATTATGCAAATGGCCGTCTGTCGAGTACACACACGAGCGACCGGGCGATCGGTGTACAAAAAATGAAAATACGATTTCTTAAAAAAAACTATATCCATGGCCATGTGCGCAAAAAAAATATTTTTTAAGCGATTAATCATTATAGATTGCATAATCTACAACGTTTAGAACACACATCATTAGCACTTATTATTATTAAAAGTATCTGGTAGGTACCTATGTCTACTGACGTCAACTATCGCGAGGAATATTATGATTTATGATAAATATGATGATGATTAATTCATTGATGAATATAATTATTATAATTCATTAACGATCGTATTTAAAAGTTATTATCTGAAAAATTTGCGCTGCGGTATTAATTTTTTGAAGATTGCCACAAGTGCAAGATACTATGCTAACACACACGATGCCCCCCTGGGACCTGGCCACCCACCCACGAATAAGTTTGTAATTTATTGCACAATGGTTTTGATAAAATTTTATTTTTAAATTTGGAGAACCGACGGCGACGTGGGTATATTCTGAAATATCTCCAGTTTTTACGACTTTTCATTACAACAAAAACGTCGAAAACGCACAAAATTCACAAATTTATAATAATATCAATGTAAATTCTAAACAGGTATAATTCGATTATATAATGATATCATTGACAATTATTTAGGATACAATAATATTGAAAATGAATTCTCGGTAAAACTTTCAGAATTAATTGTATAACAAATTATTATTAGTTTATTAATGGTAGGTATTAACTATTTAATTTCTATAGATTATATTGGTTATTTATTAGGTACAAATTCGTGGAAGTCCTATTATTATACACTATGTTTTCATTGTGCTCTGAGTATTTTTTTTTTATCAAAATTTACATATTTTGTTGGATCAGTACATACCTTACCTACATGTACATTTTGTTTTGCAATAAGTAAGTACTTGTATGCATGCGTCCGCTATTTCATATTTGTTTTAAAATTAGATATTAATATATTATTTTCCTCTATGTTATGACATTACAATATTAACGTTTTTACAGTTTACACTTTATATCTACAGTCTAAAGTAGTTTCTCATTAGTGTACAAATTTTCTTTCATAGCTTTATTAAAAATATTATATTTTTTTTTTAAATTTTTTTTTTACAAGAATTACACAATCTATACTAATAAGAGCACAATAAGCGTATTTGAAGAGGGTAAACAGGCATGAAGAACGGGGTTAAGAAGTTATTAAGTTAATATTATATAATATTATAATTAGAATATTTATATTTGCACCAAACGCCTGCACTGCAGGTATTTGTGAAAAACGTATCTTGATCTGATAAATTGGAAATCAAATTGAAAGTAAGTAAACATAAGAATTTAACTTATACGGAACAAAACAAAATAAAACAATTGATTTAATTAAAAATCTTTGATTTCTATATTAAATCTATAAGCGTCTCTTGAAGTCAATTCACTATTCTTTTTGTTCCACGAAAAGTAAAAATAGAAATATCACGAGCCCGTCTATGATAATTTAATGTTACAGTAATTACTAATCAAACAATATTCACAGTAATTGAAAATGTTTCCCATCGAATTTACCACGAAAAACATGATATTTTTGTTTGGAATTTATAATGTGTGTTATACTTATTTATACCTCAATAATTCTGTCTGAAATAATTTTAGAAATCGTAGTTATTAGTAGTCGCACAATATTAGGGTTCGAGCAGCTATTATTTTATTTTTTAAAAACTATAAGAAAAAAAAACGTTTTGAAAATATTATAAGAGAATAATACAAAATACGACCAAACACTATATTTAAATAAATATTATTTAAACATTCTGGTCAATTAATTTAAATAAGCGATGAAATAATAGTCTAATAAAATAATACTATAACGTTTGTGTGGGTAGTAAGTAATAGGCGAGTTTGTCTACAATAAGATGCGGGCGTGATTGTAATGGATAGTATTAGATTTAGGCAATAATAAATTGGTTGAATTCCAAGCAAGTATACATAATATTATTCAAGTATATTATTTTTATAATGCCATCAACACACACGCACACACAACTTATTGGCACTATTTAGTCGAATGTAATGTATTTTCAAACGTTTTTTGGCGAATACCGACTTAATCGTAAGAAGATTCATTTTTTTTAACATATAAATGATTTATTTATTTTATTAATATTTATGATTAATATTATTTTCTTACACAACTTTTAGTCCTTTTCTAATCTTTTATTAATTATTTATTGTATAGGTAGATACTGAGCTTTATACGTTACACATTTTTGGTACGAAATGCAAACTTGAGTTCTTGTACTTATAGGTACTAAAGAAGAAACGATTAATTTTAAACATTTTTATAGTCTTTGTAATGATTAATGAATAGATAATTTGTTTGTGTATAATTTAGTAAAATATGTATCATTATATTGTAATTAATATTTAATTTATATTAGTATAAATTATAATGGTAATTGCTGTACACATAATTAAGTTTGTAGGTACGTTTATTGCTTATTTACATATAATTTATGGGGTAATTAAATTTTAATGGTCCTTACTTTATGATGGGGACATTAATATATTTAAATAATATTATTTGGTGGCATAAATATATAAAATTGTTCATTTAATATCCTTTTTGTAGTTTAAATAATAAATTAACTACCTAATGTAATCAGGACATGAAACGTTAAGTTCAATAAGAAGATATTTGTGAATAACAAAAAGTACGTGTTTAAACATTTAGACGCCTACTAAATTATATAAGTACTCATACCCTAGATATATATAAAATTAAGAATATTACTAAAGAAGCATGTGTTTTATTTAACCTAGTTTTATAAATATTATAAATATAAACACAAACTTCAACTACCAACTTGAAGACTATAATATAATATAGTAACGACTAACGAATAATAAATTCATATCAATATAATATAATAGGGATTACGTATTATACTTGGGTTTACGGTTTTTTTTTAATTACACTATTTTATAGACACTTTAAATTTATATTTTATTTGTGCAATAATATAGCTGTAATATGCCTATCACATAAATTATAACGTAATTTTAGTTTGTAACTGGCGCAGCTGCTTAGGTTTAATAGGCTACGATATAAAATTAAAAAAATAAAACAATACAAGTTGTTTAGAATATCATCGAGCTTTCCAAAAAATGTACTAACTAAATAACTACGAGATATTTATTAATCTGCTAACGCGTGTAACGGATAAGGTCATTAATTGATAGTTAGGGATCGTAAAAGAATAAGGCGGAAATCAAAGGCTTTTTTCCAATCTCCCGCAGACCAAAGTACCTACAATCAAGTTTCATCAGGAAATCCGTATATTATCATATACCTGAGACACAATACTTATATTGACGCCTCTATATCCCATTATAACTTGAGATTTAGGAAATATTTAGCTTATAGTAAATTGCGAGGGGTCAGGGGGTTTATTTAAATTCAAATCTGAACGGAGTATAACTACTTATCTACCTACCTACCTACCTATTGCACAAGTCAAATTTCGTTACAGGTCAAATTTTACGAGCTTAACAGATGTTCTAGAGACAAACGGTGCAAATACGTCATGGTAACAAAATATAAGTAACAGCGGTGACGCTTACCTGTAATGGACATCCACGGGTACCGGGGTATGTCAGGCATGGGTTGCGGTCCAGGAGCTCCGGGCTGTCCAGCGCACGCGGAGTTGAGCGGGTCAGCGGCCACGGCGGACGCGGCGGCCGCCTGGTGGTAGAACTGAGCGGCCGCGGCCATGGACGACACGGCACCGGTTCCACCGGCACCGTTCTGGTTGTGGTGATGGTGCAGGGCGGCATAGCTGTTGACCATCGTGTCGGCCGCGGACACTCCCCCGACGCTCACGCCACCGACTCCACCGCCGTACCGGCAAGACGACGACGTCTTGTCCGCGGCGTCCTGGACGGCTGCGGCCAGGGCGGCCGAGCCGGGTGACGTGAACGCCATGGAACCGGCGCCGGAGCCGAACTGCTGTTGGTGATGGTGGACGGCGTACGCTGGGTACATGCGGCCGGCGGCCGGCGAGACCAGCGACGACGTGGACGGCGGTGAGCCACCCGCGCTGCTTGACGACGAGTTGTTGGGCGTCAAGCTGTAGTTGACGGCTGACGAGTCCAGCCCGCCGCCGGACGTGATCACGGGGTTCAGGAGCTGGTGGTGGTACTGCTGGTGGTACTTGGGTAGCATGCTGTCGATGATGAACTTTGAACTCATGTCGGGCGCGTAAGTTGCGACCGGGGACAGGATTATACACCGCGGTGCGATTTTTGGCCGCACGTTCGTATATTATGCAATGATATCTTGCACGTCCTTAAGCACGCCTCTCTCTCCTGATCGTTGAGATAATGTAATATTATCTGGATATGTGCGAGACTCCGTCAACGCCACCGCATTATGCCGTCGTGATGCGGAATATATCGTCGTCAAACCAAAAGCACAGCGTTCGAAAAACAAAATATTAAACTGTTGTCGATATAGTATTGTTTATTTATATTCAAAACCCGAAAATATCGACGACGGGACACGCACACTGTACGGACACTGCACGATACCGGCACGGGAATGCGTGGAGGATGTGGATCTTAGACCCGGGAATCACACAGAGTAAAAAAAACCGAACGGGATAATATTGTTATAATCGAGAAAAAATTATCTTCGAACCGTGTGTAATAGCGGCGGAAAAATAAAAAGAACCCGCGCGGCGGCGGCGGCGACGCGATCACTGGCGACGGCGGCGGCCTTTGGCGATATAATATTATATGGCGGCGCGGGTAATTTCCCGAACGTTGAGCACTTGTTTGTGAGATCGTTTATGACCCGGGCGGCGCGCGGAGGGTATTGGCGTGGCCCAGTCGACCGTCGTCGTCTCGTCGCAGTCGTCGTCCGCGTCGCAGTCGTCGCGTTACCTCTCTCCGGACGCGCGCGCACACATTCTCACACACACACGCGCGCGAGCACACGACCACACCGCTACGGCACTACCTACACGGGCGCGCGCGCGAACCATCGCGCACACGCGCAGCGGCGGCCGTGGTGGCCGGCTCGTCGAATGGGTTGGGTGCGGCGCGCGGGTCGGCGGCGTCGCCCCCGTCCCCGCGGCCGGAGACTTGTCCCCTCCGCGGCGACGGCCAATCGACGAGCGCGCAGGTCTCGTGTGTGCCGCAGCCGACAGCGCACTCTCGCGGCACACGACCGATCGGGTTTTTATTATTTTACTCCTCGCCGCGTCCATGCGAGTCTATGATGATGATAATTAATCATTTTTTACATTAAGTTTGTAATAAATAACTCCTAAAAGTTATTGTTACACTTTGATTTGGATTTTTTATTTTCGCTCTGTTTGTAATATTGTTATATTTTTTTTTCCGTTTATATCTATATATTTTAATATTTTATACACTCAACCCGAATTCTTCGCCCACTACTTTTATAATAGGTACACGCCGGAGACGAGTGATCACTGCGATATATAAAATATAAACATTGTAAATATTATGATCGTCGTCGGATTCTACGTCGACATAAAATTATAAACACGCACCTGTCATAGGTATAGATTATTATGTGATCGCAGTATTGGGATATATATTTAACGAGTCGCCTTGTATGCATAACCGCACGCGTGTCCTTTACATTAATATAATAATGTATAGGTGCGAAACGATAATAATTTATTGCGCCGCTGTACATAATAGCTAACCTTTATATTCTAGATATAAATTCATAACGAGACGGGAACATTTTAACAACTAAAACGGAATTATACAAATACATAATTAATTAAACATTGTAAGTACCTACCTACTCGTTCAAGCAAAAACAATTATTCTATGGTTAGAACAACATAATATAAATATATAATGTGCATAGTAATACATTCATGTTTTAAAGCACTGTTTATAAATGAGTATAAAGTATTGCTATATTAATTATTAGCACATCATTTCACAATACTCCTACATTCATAATTTGTTAGTAAGTATGCTCTAAGATACAGGTATCACGCATATTATTATTGTATGTAAATTTGGTTTTTGTCAGCTTAATTATTGCTTAAATAATATAAATTCAAATTGGCTATTTTCATTCTGTTATTTGCATAAGAATAATCATAATAATATAGGGTTTAGGTATAATAGTAACATTAACAATTTATTATTTTACTTGTATTTATATAGTAGGTACCTATAGATACCATATTATACCTTTAACCGTAGGTAGGTACATTGAATTATTTATTATATTATATATTTTTCAATAATATATGTAATGATAATTTTTATTAATTGACTAAATTTTAATTGGATACGATAAATTTATTAAATCCATTAATGTATTAAATCTTATGAGTATAACTAATTGTGTCCTTATAGTATAATAATAAGTAGATTTAAGAGCGTTATTATAGCGTTTAAATTTCCGTTTTACCTATAAATAATATTTCAAGAACAATATAAATTAATATTTTAATATTTGCTATATTTATAAGTTATAACTATCATATTCTTTATGACGTAGGAACATTTCCTAGCGGAGCTAATATTTTTACAATGATGCAATTTGTTTTTTGTTAAAAAATCTTAAGACTATTAATTTCTATTACACATATCTATTGGAAATTTCCACAATTGTACTACACCATTCGACACTATAATGTCAGTATGCATAGTTAGTTTGCGTGTCACGTAACTACGCAAGACATAGTTATTGACATGTCTTATGTGACACATAAATTGACTATGCATACAGGCATAAGTATATTACACCGAATACGGATACATTTTTTGATGAATCATGAGTTTACAAATTTAAGTATTTTAATAAAGTAATCCGAGCAACGATATTATATAGGTAATGCATCTTGCTTTGAAATATCGTAGGTAATTAATGTATTAACCAGACAATAAATAATTAAATATATACCTATAATGTCAAAGAGATTAATTTCCGTGAGTACATATATGTATAATGTTAATATGCATTAATTGCTAGCGGCCGCTGCGCTCGTGTCGGTACGATACGAACAAAGGAATGAATATTTGATTGTAAACCGATTTTTTTATTTTAATAAGGAAACACGGCATACCATATAGCTACAAGCTATACCTATGTGAATTATATAGAGATCCGGTCGATAAGACGCGTTCTTGGAAATCGTTCGTTAAAGAACATGACCTCGACTGCTTGTTATTTTTCGTGATTTTATTTTATTTTATTGGTTTTACATGTTGTGTTTTTAAAGAAAAATTTTTATACTTAGTTCGTTTTCTTATTTATGTATAGGTATATGTATACTATGTGTATACACTTTTTGGATCAATAAAATCAATCCAAAACGCACGCAGTAGTTCTATCAACCGATAAGAAATTGGTCACAGATGGTATACTTGAGGACTGAGAGTTTATTTTTGAAATTATTTCTAATAGGAAATTGCTGGAGAAACCTGTAAACATATCGGAACATAGTTTTTATAAGAAAATCTATTCTGTTATTATTCAGAAACAAACAAATTGTTGTAGCGTTTTATTAATTTGTCCCTTAGCCGTTTTTGAAGTTTGTATTGTTTGTTAAAAATATGTGTTGTTTTATCGGTTTTCATAGCTAATTAACATATATAGGGTATTAACTATTATTACTCGTACAAAATATGCCTCAATTAACCACCTAGATGCACTGAATGCCTTTCCATTTCCGTACAGAGAAATATACTCATCTCTAACACCTAGACATTTTTTAAAAAGTAAAATAGTTTTAGAATTTCACATACGCTTTATTGCATGTAGGTACAATTTTTATCAAAAATTATTTTATAATTTGTTTTCGGAGACTAATTTGCATTTTGCAACCTTCACTTTATTAATTTTACTACCAAAATTCTTAATTTATCAAATGAAGACGAAATTATTGTTATAAATTATAATACCCTTTCTTTCTTCACTATATAACAGTAGAGCTGCAGTCATATGTCCCCTAAATTAATATTTCATCTATGCTCTTCAGAAATTATTATCTCTGTTACATTACTTACCTAATTTGTTTTTGAAAGCATTTTTGATTTTAATTGTGTGTTTTGTTTTATGTACTTAAAATTTTAAATTAGGCGATTTGTATTATATTGCAGTATAACTACCTATAGTTAATTAAAATAATTATTACTATTTCTTATTAGCTATATAAAATATATATAGGTATGCATCCATAAATAAAGTTTAATCTATCATTAAATAGAAAATAATATGTATACTGTATATAGGTATATATTAGTATAATTATACTATAATATATAGTTTGTCACTCACTCACTCGTGTACAAGATCACGCGTCCTTTAAAAAAATATTATTTGACCTTTAAATAGGCTCGAGGTTATAATCGAACTCTGTAGAATAAAAACCACATATAGGTACCTGCAACAAAATATGTTATATGCTTTATATATAGGTACTACAATTTATTTTATATGTATATATTATGTACAGTTAATAATTAAATTAAACGTACAAACGAGCTGATAAATACTTTTAGATATTAAATGTCGATATAGGTATGTGTACAAACTGTATAGGAGGTACCTCCCACATATTATATTATACCGATGTATATGCCTGAATTCACAGGCGGTCACGACGGGTATATTGCAAAACGGTTTATTAGAATTTCATTCAATATTTAAACACGCAGTTTCGTAAACTAACGCGAAAAATTTTTGTTTTGAGAAATACTGTATGGTCATTACACGAGTTTTTACAGTTTTTATTCATTGAATACTACCAATTCACCGTGGCCAAAATGTAATATCTTATACGGAGTACATCGTATAATATTATCATCTACCTACATTATAATATTATATAGGTATTATAGCTAGGTACAACGATGATACAAGAATTACGTATGCTTTGGATTAAATCATCCCGAGTATAAACGTTCCAAATTTCAAAATACTCTGATAGTACATAATATAAATAGGAATGTATTAAAATTTTAAGAAGCCCATAGTCGACTGCAGCTGTATATTATAGTATACACTATATATGGTATACATCAATGTAGCGAGCCGTGTAGGTAGGCAACCAAACGTACACGACTCACTAAATTTTGAATAATACAATACTTAAAAATGTCCCTGCGGGTCACTGCTGGTCCTTTCACGTGTAGATTTCGAAAACGAAATAACACTTCATGGTATCTGAAATATATTTTCTAAAGAAACTT